AACCCCTGAAGTTGTAGACCGGCCAATCAGCAAAGTGCTGTGAAGCCATGACTGGGTCCCCTTTTGTGGAACAGCACAACAGTAAACAAAGCGATCGAGATGGATGTAGAAAAAGCTATACATTCTGTGTTGGCAACAATTCCCGAGATCGAGGATTTAAAGCCAGAACAAAGAGAATGTTTGATGAATTTTATAAAGGGGAAAGACGTTATTGTCCTTCTTCCTAAGGGATTTGGGAAAAGCTTAATATACCAGTTAGCCCCATTAGCAGAGCATTACATACGCCATGACCAAATAGTAGTGATTTAAATAAAAAAAGTACCCGCCTACCATCAAGTGAACAAATCCTAATGCTGCGAGGTCTAATGAATCAGGCTACCACAATATAGCTTTGAACTAACCTGTCTGCCAGTTATTCAGGTATTTTTATTGTTCAAAAGCGCCTTGAAACACGTCCATTCTTACAGTCTGACTTGTAACATGCCCAAAAAGGTGTGATGAAAATAGACAAGTGTAATGTCATACTGTGGAACATTCTGGGCAAAATGTTAAAATTTCATGGAGACAGCAGATGCCAGACCCTCCACTAGAAAAATGATGTAGCACCTCCAGTCCCTTCTACATTCTGTTTGAATACAGAATGGACTGGAAGCGGACAATAGTGCGTGAAAAACCTCTCTCCAAACTGGAGCTGATCCAAACTCCAAAATCCAAAATGCGGAAGACATCTCCTCTCCGAAATTCTCAGAGGCTTTAGAACAAAATATATAACTTATTTTTGTTTGGTGGTGAACTCTGAAAAAATCCACACTGTTTTTCAGTCCTTTATGTTGCTTTTTTACGTGTTAGCAGTCATGTTTTCTTTTCTTTTGACGTGAACAGACTATGCATCTTTCTGATATGCCTGTCAGTCACTCCCTCTGAAATAATGGAGACAGGATACAGCTCCAGATCCACCACTCTTTGTAAGGTTTTGTCAAAGTGTGTGGTTTTGGCTGGCCAGGTAACTATTGTCCCTGAACAGAGATGCCCTCAGAGGAGTACATGGTTTTGGGTGTAGCCTGCATTCTGTTCATTTGTCAGTAGTTTCCAGGCTCTCTCTGCAGCTCTATCCCTCACCCTGCTGCAGCCTGCCACACTCAAGGACAAAGAGTTTGAGGGCAGTGGGATTAATATTTTATATGTAGCTCTGCATCATGTGGTGAGGCAGACACTCAAGCATAACAGCAAAAGCCTACATTAAAGACAGGAGCCCCCTTTGCTTCTCAATGGATGTGGTGCACTTCATATGAAACATTGATGGTTTCAGACAGCATGGCCCTGTTTCCACCAGCTCTTTTCTTCTTCTACTCTACTAAGCACTCTACTACCCCTTTGGAGCGTAATCATTGTCCCTGCTTTACTGGTACATTATTACAGTTCCAGTCAGGCCAGGGTTCTAACCAGGCTAAGCAGCTTCTAAATGGACTGCTGGTGCACGATAACACATTTATTGCCTGACCAGCCAGTCCCTTCTAGATTCTATTCAAATTCAGAAGGGACTGGGACCAGACCATAGAGCGTGAAAAACCTCTGTTCAAAATGGAGACACTAATTTGTTGCACCAATTCCTTAAATGTTTGACGTGAACAGAGTATGCGCCTCTCTTATTGTTTAATCCATCTTTCAATCATGCACAGTGAAATCAGTGAGACAGGATACGGCTCCAATTCCACTTGTCTTTGTAAAGTTTTGTCAAAGCATGTGGTTCTGGCAGGTCAGGTAATAAAAACTATGACAACTACTGTTAAAAAATCATGAGCTGCAATAAATAAACAGCAGAATGAAACACACTTATTTTACATCTATAATGAGTCATAGAAGTTATGGCTCTTGTCATATTGCCCAAAAATAACAAAAAAATTCCCAGATGTGGAAAAAGTACACATGATAAATATTGACCCCAGAAATATATTTCATATATTGATCAAGTTATCATGACAGACCTATTGGTGGTTAATGTTTGGTCAAAGTGCTTAATCTGTGGATTTCTGTGGAAAAGAAGAACTAGAGAAGATACTCCATGCTTTTATTTCCTTGTGGTTAGACTACTGCAATAGTCTCTTTACCTTGAGAAGAGAGAGCTGTAGTAACAAAAAGGAGGGCACCTGTTCTAAAAGGGCTTCACTGGTTCCCTGTTTTGCACCGTGTCCACTTTAAAAATCTTGTTTTGACCTTTCGGGATCTACATGGACCGGCTCTCGTACAGATCTGACCAAATCTTCAGAGCAGAACCCGCTGATGGTCCCTCCTACATGTGTTAAAACTGGAGGAGACTGCTTCTTTAAAGTTGACACCCCTCGACTCTGGAACACACTCCCTCTCTCCCTTTGTTCTTTGGACTCTGTGGGTGTCTTTAAAAAACACCTAAAGACTTACTTCTTTGAGTAAATATTTTAACCTTATTGTTAGTGACTGTGTTTTTGCTGCACACTTCTTTTGATGACAATTTTACTGTGAAGCTGTGACTATATGCCTGTGAAAAGTGCTATATAAATAAAGATTACTCACTTACTATTTGCTGTAGGCATTCTGGATGGATATAGCATCAGATGCAGCAGAGTAATGGAAACAGCAACAGGCCGAGTGTAGTCAAGTACAAAAGACTTAGGAGCCTGTGTGTTTATAATTTTTCAAAGTATTCCATTGGTCCAGTTCAAATTATTTTGAGATTTGGGGCATTTTAGTAACTTTACTGTATTTTCCGGGCTATTAGACGCGCTCTTAAGACTCTAACCCCATCAAAAAACAACCGCGCACCCCACAATCCAGAGCGCCCCATACACAAATCCACTCGGGTGTCCCAGCACGACTTCAGTAAACTACAAAGCCGCACCACCCGCAGAACACGCAAACACGCACGGAGCAGACAGCAACCGCGCAGCGAAACACACCCGCAGCCACACTCATCACTCCACACAGACGAGGAACGGAACGGAGGAACGAACGGAAAAAGCGAGTCCAATGTGCCTTTCTGAGCCACAACTGAACAACTGAGTCACTGCGAACACGACAACAATCCAGCGGTCCCAGACAGCACCCTCCCTACACGCCACAACTGAACAAAGCCGAGAGTCACCGTGAACGCGCCAAACAAAGTCCCACTGACCCATCGAACTGTTGTGTTTCGAAGTCCAGTGCGATTTATTTGTGAAAAAAGTTCGAAAATAGACCATTTAATGATAGTGCGTCTTATAATCCAGAGCGCCTAATAGCCCGTAAAATACGATACTTATGTAATGCAAGTACAGCTTAAACATTTTTAAACTAGGGATGCACTGATCCAGCTTTTTCAGTTCCAGATTTTGATACTATTGTTAAAAACAGCATTTATTTCCTTAAAAAAATAAAGTAAGACAAAACTGATCCAAATGTGCTATGTAGCTGTTACTTATCTCTCAAGTTTTTTTTGTTTTTGTTTTAAGTCTGTAACTATTGGTGCTGATGTCCAATACCAGTAAACATTTGACCCTGTACTGTTATAGAATACAATGCTAAAGAAAGTATTGTGTCTCAACTGCCTCAAAAAATGTAAGAAGCTCACAGCCTCTTTGTGTTTGTGTAATATATTGTGCGTGGTGTGCACTTCCAGAGAGTGAGAGACGGAGGCGGAGACGGCAGGGTCCAGCTGCAGGTCGGTGCCAGTCTGAGCATCGATTTCACACGGACTCGGAAGCTCTGATCACACTGAGCATCTGAGTACATTTTAGACACGTGTGTAAAGAGGATACTACTACAAAATGAGGACAGCATGTTGTAGTACTATCTAGGCCTGTGTGATCTATATTAGGCCAAAAAACTCAAGAGAAACGGCTTGACTGGTTCTGCAAAATATTAGAATCTCTGCATAACAGCATTACTACATATACTGTATTAAAGGTGCGCTATGTAACTTTTCTAGAGAAGGATCTGCCTGCTGCACGTCTCCCTGGAGATGCTACTGTTTTACCTGGAAAGCTCCACAATATAGCTTTTACCAAACCTGTCTGACAGTTACTCAAGTGCTTTTATTGCTCAAAAACAAATAGGAAAATGTGCATTCTTACTGTATGTAATATGCCCCAAAGGTCTGATGAAAATAGTGTAATGCCATACTGTGGAACATTTCAGGCAAATGTCACGCTGTCACAATTAGGCCTTGACTTATTGTTCAGTATATGAAACCTGGAACAATTTTTTTAGGTCATTATTTATCCTGTATACTTTTTCTTTGCACTATTGGGAAATTTATGGTTATTTTTTGGTTTGATAAGATTTGAGCTGTAACTTCTATGACTCATTACAGATACAAACTAAGTACTAAAGTGTTTCATTTTGCTGTTTATTTATTATTTATTACAGCTCATGATTTAAAAAAATAAAAAAATAATAATCAGGAATTGAAGTTATCCATCAACATGCTGCACTTTGTATCCTGGAAAATGTTATAATCTCAGAATGTCTTGAGTTTAGTTTAGGTATTTTTTTAGGTCTTAAAAAAGAAAAGTTGATGTGTACCAGATTTAGCCACTGCTACTTGCCATCTGCAGTTTTTGGGCAGGTGAACACACACTAAAAATACACATTACATTACAACATTAACTTGGCTCATTATTAATATTAGCAGTAAAATACAATAAAATGTCACTATTTCAATGTTATGCTTCCTATGAGCCATACAAATATTACACAACATACAGTATGTTGATAAGACTGACTGTTATCTGTAAATCATGGAAAAGATGAAAACAAAAGTTGAGTTGTACAGATGAAATAAATAAGTACAAAAAATGCCACTTTTTATCGTGAATACAGTACACATTAACTTGACTTATGGTGACACTTGTGATCATCTAAATGTGCTTTTCCAATTTTCTAGTGAAATGAACAGAATGATTCGACCGTCTGATGGTTTGAAAAGAAAATGCTGACTGTTATCGTTTATATCTCAGTATTTGGTAAAATTGTGTTTGTGTTTGCAGATGACGGGAAGCTGTCTCTGGATGAGTTCCAGGCCTTTTTCTCTGACGGCACGCTGAATGAGGAGGAGCTGGAGAAACTGTTTCACACCATCGACTCGGACAACACCAGGTCAGCACTCACACTGCGGAGTGGAGACATATAGTTCTCTGTACTATAGATTATATGGACTGTCTGCAACACGTGACGTTGCATTGTACTGCATGAACTAACTCCAATTATATGTTAGGACTGTACAAACTTGGAAAAGCATGTAATTATTTTTTAAATGTTTTAAAGTAGGGAAGGGTGCTATGCCAAAAATCATATTTTCTATTCTCTATCTTCTATCTATGTTATAATGTTTCTTCCTCATCAAAAACATACCAGGTTGTGTTTTGTTTCATACAAACCCTGCATATTTAGGCTTAGTTCTTCTTTCAAACTGTTCCACCTTGTGATGTCATGTGATAATACAGGAAGTGCTCCACACCTTCACCAGAATCATTTAAATACCAGTACTTTCAGTCCTGGAATTATCAATCCCCAGTAAACAAAAGTTAAAACTTTTTATCTTGAACACTTCCACTACATCACTACGTGGGACAGAGTATTTTGAGCTTTGAAGATGAAGGCAGACTAATAATGCAGGATTAATCAAACATGTGAGAATGAAACAAAATACAACTCCAGGTATGTTTTAGAAGAGGTTAAAGCATTTTAACATGGCTTAAAGTTCAATTTTGTGTAATATAGGACCTTTAAAATGAGATCACGATTTTATTATGATCCATGTAGACTTTGTATATGAATATTACCTGCCTGGAGCTCAAGTCATCACAGAGGCTGACCAGTAGGAGGAGTGGGTGAGGAAAAAAGTCTGTCTTTAAGCCTGTAACTGCAGTAAAGAGAGAATTTCTGAAAACAAAATTGCACATTGTTAAAAGAATTTGATTACAATAGAATTTTTATCGCCATACCGCCCAGCCCTATTTCAAAGTATACATAGTAAACAATCCCTGGTGCATTAACATTTAAAAGAAGACTGAAACATATGAAATACTAATAAACTAAAACAACTCCATGCATTTGTAAAGCCCTAAACTCCAGGTTCAACAAGATTTTTTGATTGCGATATATTGGCCGGCTTTAGTTCTTCATCACATCCACAGAATCGATTATGGAAAAGAGCAGCAGCTGTTTTCCTGCTCACAGCCTCGAGAGCTACTATGCGTCTCCATTATTTGACAGAGTTTGTGCACACTTATTTAAAATGCATGCAATTTATACTGCAGCTGTGAAGGCTCCATCTAAACCAGGGATCTTTATGTGAAGTAGCGACTCCAAGACAAAAGCAACTGGCTCTTTTCGTGTACACACTTTAAAGGGTTGTTTTGTGAGGGCCAATTCAAAACTTTATAATTTTTTATTTATTTATCATTTTATCTCAATGCCAAACAGTCTGGGCTGCCCTCAGTAGATAACGTGGACACCAACAACCCCAATAATCATGAGCCAGTACTGAAATATATTTTTTCACCATTTTTTCATGACATCTGTTTTATGTTAAGAAAAAAATAAATATGTAATAATATACTAGATAGAAAGATAATATTGAAAATACGTCATGCCACTAACACAAAGCAAGATAAATCCCATCAAGAAATGTTTGAATAGACGGCATCATTAAATGTCCCATATTACGCTATTTTCTGATCTGTGTTTCATCATCAAAAACATACAGAGAGTTGTGTTAAGTTTCATTCACACAAGTGAGGTTTTTCTCTTAAAAGGAAAACATTCCTTGTGATGTAAAGTGGTTAAAAAGGAAGTGCTCCACTGTATTTTTAAACTCTATACACATTCACTAGAATCATTTGGATGATTTCAGCCCTGGAATTGCCAATCTCTACTAAACTAGGTAAAAGTTGCTGTTAACTTGGAAACTATCGCCTTGTCCCATCTAAGGTGGAACAGAGCATTTTGAACCTTGGAGACGTAGACAGACTAAAAATACAGACAAACAGAGATAATACAGATGTTTTTGATGGGGTATAAATATAACCTCATCTGTTACCTCATCAAAAACATGGCCTATAGCTCACAAAAGTCTATTTTGTATAATATATGACCATTTAAAAAACCTGAGCTGCAACAAGTAAATATCTGAATGAATGGATAATTAGTCATAGCAGTTATTCATTCTACCCTCTGCTGCTCAAATCTTACATTATTATATAAAAATGGCAAAAAATCTTCTCACCATTGCAAAGAAAATAACCGACAATAAATACTGAGCCCTAAAATATATTTTCCATGCCATTTGTTTTATGTTTTTCTAGTTTGGGAAAAGCTATTAAGATTTAGAAGTGGAGATCAATGGATACCAGGAAAAACAACATTGAGTTTTGATCGTAATAATTGACTTGATTTGACTTAACCCTGCCAGTAAATGTCCTATATAAACATTATTATTATTAAACAGTGATGGGAAGTTGAGCATCAAACTCCTAAACAGGACAATGAGCGCTTCTTCAGGTTCTTGAAAATGTGCTGCGTAATTCTATTTTGTATTTTGTCTTGAGTTTCTTGAGTTTTCAGTCAATCTGAAAACTTTTTTGGTAGTTATTGGTAATGTGTGCAGTGTGTCACTATGGTAACTACTGAACATTTCACTAATAGAAGTACGTAGTAATACACGCCCTGCATGATGCCACAGTATCAGTTGACCCTTAATCAGCTGATCAGAGCTCCCTGATGGAGAGAGGATGGGAGGAAAGGGGTTCTCTACACTTGTGTTTCAGTCATTTAAACCTCCCTCTGAGTCCTGTGGTGATAAAATGAATGGAGCAGAACAAAAGCTGACCTTTATGACTGCAGAAGAGATTGAATTAGGTTCAATATAAATCCTGCGGCGGGCTCAGTCATTATGGAGATCTGTTAGTTAAATCAGTGCGGCAGAACTGCAGCTCTGTCCCATCGCTGTTACACTGTGAAATAAATCTGAATGAATTACAACCCTGGGACCTCTTTAAACTTTCAGTGATGAGATAAAACCTTAGATTCAACACAAAACACTGAGTGAATAATGTCACACAGACAAATATTGATGACCAAATGAAGTGATAAATGATAACGTAGAAACACGGATTTCACTCTGTCCAAATGTACACTAGTGTTAAAGGTCCCATATTATGCAAAATTGACTCTTTTGAGCTTTAAGCTGTGTTATAGTGTTGTTACCTCCTCTGAAACATGCCTTTAGCTGTGTTTTGTTTCATTCACCCATGTTTGAGTAATCCTTTATGATTAGTCTGTTTCCTTCTCCAAAGCTCAAAATGCTCTGTTCTACTTTGTGATGTTATAAAGTGGTAGTTTTCAAGTTAAAAACTACCTTTTATTTTCATTTCAGTAAAGGTTGGCAATTCCAGGGCTGAAATGATCCAAATTATTCAAGTAAAGCTCTATGGAGTTTAAAAACACAATGGAGCACTTCCTGTATTATCACCTGACATCACAAGTTTTTCAATTTCAAAGAAGAATGAAACAAAACAAAATTCCAAGTATGTTTTCAGTAAGGAAAATGTGAAAATAGCGTAATATGGGCCCTTTAAGAACTAAGACTTGCATTAGTCTTTTACACATTAGACTTTTGAAATTTATTGATCCACAATAGAAGTTACTTGGTCAACTAAAAGTCTGACAGGTGAGGAAATGAGCTGAAATTGCAGAAAAGTTGTGTTTTCTGGTTGAGATGAGGCGGTCATTGGTCACGGGGCTGCACTGGAGGCAGGTGGTCCGAACAGAGTAAGTGTGTTCATACATCAGGTTGTGGAGGGCAGTGACAGGGGGTAGGGGTGGGCTCTGGTGAAGGTGGAAGCGTGTGATTGATGAGGAGGACAGGGTCCATCTGAGGCGTGCAGGCAGCTCCCATTTCCTCCTTACACCAGACTGAGGCTCTATCTGTGTTTCTGTCAAACCATCACTTTCATCAGCCCATCCTCCCTCCATCTGCCACTTATCTGTCCCCCAACTCTCCCCACAAACCATCTCATCTAAAGCACTTCAACTTTTCCACTACTTATCTTGGTCTTAAGCTCAAAATCCTTATCTTTGCAGTGAGTGGTAAGAACTTTTGCCTAAATGTCAAACGTGGGTATAATTTAAAAGATGTTGCTACAAAAAGACTTGAATATTTTTACATGCACATTGACATTTGCAACCAGATGTTTCTGTCCTGACAAAAATTTAACTATTGAACTCATTAGTTTATGGCTAAATGTTCACTCTGGCCAAACCTCCTTGCCAAAGCCTGATCCCATCTGATCTCAGAGGCTTAGCAGGGCCAGGCCTGGTTAGTACTTGGATGGAAGACCGCTGGGAATAGCAGGTGCCACAAACTTGTATTACTCCAAAGCAAACTACCGCAACTTTGCTTCTCAAGGGTGGAGTCAGATGACAATTATGACAGTCATAAATTCATAGCAGATTTTAGCAGATGTTAGGGTCCTGTTTACATGAGAATGCTTGTGGGTAAAAACAACAAAATATTTTATCAGAGGTGCCTTTCGTTTAGACGGTGATGGCATTTTTGAGGCTTAAAAACGCAAAAATCTGAAACCACCTTATAGAGTGGAAAAGTGGTTCCATCTACACTGCCCAAGAAGCAAAACTCTGGACAGATTTGCTCACGTCACGTACGCATTTACGTCACATACATACAGTACACAGAAACCTGGCATGCATACCCAATCGAATTCCACACACTTTTCCGTCACCGTATGCACACGTATTTCCTCCTGAAAATGCTTGTCTAAACGTGGAATAAAAAGTGAAGACGTGACACCACTTTTGCGTCTTCTGTTCAGACCGTCACCATAAAAACATAACCTAAGTTAGTTTTTTATGCACCAGTTGAAAAAACAAGCCTCTCCTTTCTCCTTGTTTGCGCTGGATGTACATCTGAATTAAATAGGCTGGTTGTGTAATGGAGGATAATTGGTTGGAAAGCCTGGAGTAAAGTAGTGTTTTTGCTAAACAAATCACTCTCATCCTCGTTTACACATTTCATTGTCCACAGGCATTTTATTGTAACAGCCATTTGTGAATCAGATGAACAGATGGGATCTCTCTCTGTCCCTCAGCCCTCTGGATCCTTTGGCTGCTCAACCACCCTCCACAGTTCCCATTAGCTCTCATTCAAAATTCAAAAACAGGACTATTTTGAAGCTAATATATATAGATCAGATTGGTTCATTGAGGAAAATATGACCTGAATTCTTTTACTATATACCCGGTGTTAGTCTGTTAGTGAATTATGAGCTAGGACTGGGCGATATGACTAAATAAGTGAATACATACATAAAAATAATAATCACATTTTTGATTACGTTTTACATTTGTCTTAAAGGTGCACTATGTATCTTTTCTGGTGGAGAGTCCGCCGTCTGCTTATCTCCATGGTGATGCTATTGCTTGTTCCACAGTATGGCATTAAACAAGCGTATCTTGTATTTAGACGGGCCCACTTTTCCACAGACCTGACCTGTAACTTGGCCTGGTGATGTAGCCTGCTTGTCTCCATGGAGATACTTTAAATAAATAAATTAAATGCCATATTGTAGAACATTCCAGGAAAAAAAAAAAAAAACATCTACATGGAATAAAAAAAAAAAGAATACATGCATAAAAATAGTGATCAGACTTTTTCCCCACATTTGAACACATGTTACATTGTGTTAAAGGAAATAAAATAGCTTTGAATATTCATTTCCTGAGTACAAACAAGATCGACTTTTAATACCACTTGATTAAAAAGAGCTAAGCTGATCATTGACTGAATCTCGAACTTGATTAAAACTAAATTAATTGCGCAGCCCTGTTATGAGCTTATGATTCTGGGCATTTCTAGCTCCTAAGGTGTTACCAACTTTGCTCATGCATCCAGTCTGCATGATCTGTGAATGTTGAGCGGTTGTGATGGTGTGTATCTATATAACAGCATGCAAACAAACTTCTCCTGTGTCTCTGACCCTGCTCCTCTCCACCCCTCTTCTTCTTCTCTTCCCTTCTTCCCATCTCTCTCTCCCTTTGCTGCTCCTCTGCTTTGATGCAATAGTAATGTTGACACCAAGGAACTTTGTGGTAAGTATAACTAAAGCACACTCACAAACAAGCTTCATAGTACATCTCTTCTTATATGGCTTATAAATTCATTGTAGTTTCTTGATTTCAATTCAACCAATGTATGCTATTTGGTGTATGTTTACTTTTACTCAGATAGAATAATGTTCTAACATAAGTTATAGTAATACAGTAGCTCTCACAATTTCACAGCAGATGGCAAAAGGAGAAATTACATTTGTCAGCTGGACAAAAGTTTATTTTGGTCGAATATGTTTCACAGCTCATCCAAGCTGCTTCTGCAGTTTTGGTCAAAATGCTGGTGGACACAGCAGGTGTTGTTTATTAATTTACAAGTTATTAAAGCATTTTCATTTTTGTATTATGAACATCTATAACCACATGTATGTTTTTTATAGTTGTACACTCATGTAAGTTAGTGTTTTTAGCAGGGATGCACCAATCCAGCTTTTTCAGATACCAATATAAACAGTGGCTTTATTTGCCGATATCCAATATCATCTAATACCAGTGCAGAGACGGAAAATGTAATCTATTTCCTTTAAACACAAATGGTGTATGGTGACACATTATCCAAATGTATTTCGTAACTACAGCACGACTTTGTAAGAAATACAAGTTCAATATTATGAGACGTGAGCCTACGTTGTCTAGTAAATCATCTTATTACATCAGTTTATAGACCAAAATGGGATATCTGGGAACCTATATCTTGGAACTGATATCTGATCCATGAAAAAAAAAGCAATATCAGTGCAGATATCCGATATCAGTATCGTATCGGTGCATCCCTAGTTTTTAGTAACAGTAGCATGCGCGTTGCTTTATATGTGTTGCTTTATTGAAAAGAAAGCTCAATATTTCTATTTACATTTACTCTGCATTTTTCAAATATATAACACTCTATAGATAAGTGAATGAGATGTTCTTGTGTGTTCTGTATTTGTGCAGACTATTTTGCCAAGCACATGGGAGAGTATGAGGGGGTCCTGGCCTCACTGGAAACACTCAACCTGTCCATTCTTAAAGCCATGGACTTCACCAAGAAGGTACGCCAACACCAACCTGTATTATCTGAGACGTATTATGCACATGTTCAACTGTTATTACCAGATACATGGACAGTTTTATTGGACTGCAAGAAAAAGCACTACCATAACATTCAGTCAGAAGTTTTAAACTACACCAGTGCTGTCCTCCTAGCCGTCCTAGCAGCTCTGTTACACTATTTGTTATAATGGACAATGGAATACACTCAATAACTCACACAAACTGATATCCTCCTGTCCTTTTTGTGTGTAGAACTATAGCCTACATGACAAGCTGATGATAAATCGTACAGTGCAGTTGTGGATATGAAAGCGCTCATGCCACCCGTTGGTCCAGCTCCAGTAAACTGTGCTAGGACCATATTTGTGCAGTGTGCTATGAATAATGCTATGTCAAGTCAGTCCCTTGTGCTGTGACCAGTGGCTCCTCCGCTCAGCATACACAGCCTGAGCCTCATTCAGCGCCGAGCAGCACCAATGTGTTATCCTACTTTTTGCCTGGTGCTATATATAGCAGCTGGTCCACAGTCGCACCAGTCATACTCCAGCCCTGCCTGTGCTCGTGCTAGAAATGGCAGAAATATCGAAGAATCTCATATATCGCTGTTAGAATTTGAATATCGAGTACAGGAAAACTTTTGCGGGCTAATTTATAAAATAAGAGTATAATGGGATTTTTCTGCACCTTCTTTGGTTAATCTTACAGTTGGTTTATTTGTCTCTATGGAGATGTTATTGCTTTCCCTGAAATATTCCATAGTATAACATTAAACATTTCCATCCAGCATTTATTCATTATGGGTGTTTCCGTTGTTTAAAATACAGTAATTCCTTCTGTGAATAGGAGCGAATCTCCGCAGATCTGAATTGTAATGTAGCGTAGTGCTGTAACCTGCTTCTCTCCTTTGTGATGGATGGGTTTAATTTATACTGTGGAACATTCAAGGTAAAACAATAAAATTTCCATGGAGGCAAGCAGGTAGTGAACCAGCCACCTATAAAGGGCCCATATTATCCTATTTTCTGATCTATGGTGTAATTTTATTTCCACATCAAAAACATACCTTGACTTATGTTTTGTTTCATTCACACAAACCCTGCATATTTAGACTGAGGTCTTCTCTCAAACAAAAAACACTGTTCAGCTTTGTGATGTCATGTGGTAATAAAAACACCTTCACTAGAATAATTTGGATAATTTCAGCCCTGGAATAGCCAATCTGTACTGAACTAAAGATAAAGAGGGTTACTCAAACACGTGTGAATGAGACAAAACATAACTCCAGGTAGATTTTTGATGGGGTAGCAGCATTATAACATGACTTAAAGCTCTCATGAGAGTCAATTTTGCATAATATGGGGCTTGTAAACCAAAAAGAATTGTTCTGAATCACCACTACCAAAACTCCTGAACCTCCAGCCAATCATTAATAAATGCTTGTGCAGGAGGTTCTAAGGATTCTGGAGGCTTTCACATGAGAGATGTTGCATTGTGTTCTCTTTTATGCTGGTTAGAAGCTGGCAATTCAGGTTCATTTGTGATTATAATACCTTTTCAAAATGGTAAGAGCGCAGGGTACGTACAGTTCCTTTAACAAAGACACTTGCAGGCATGCCCTAGCACATGTCTGATGGATTATAATAATATCGTCTGCATATTGTCATCGAGATAATTCCAGAATATATTGAGATTGATTGAGTTTGAGATTCATTTGTGTCACTGCCCTCCCCTGTTGTGCATTTGTGTCTATCTCTGTAGAGCAGCTCTGTCTTTATCTCCCCACCTCGGGCTCGTACCTCTGTAATGAGCAGCTATTGTTTAATCAATCAGCCAAGTGTCCCTCTTGTTCGGCCGCTGTATCTGCCACATCCACTCTTATTCAAGCTGATTTGTGACATTCAGAGTCCCACAAAGTGTCTCATCCTGCCTCTGATGTCAGTATAGCGGATATAGGCAGTGCTGTGTTCATGGGAGACAGGCTTAAGAGGTGAAAAAGTCAATGTGCAGATCTCACACTGCTGACCAGCCACTTATTGACGGAGGGTTTGTGTGTGTGAGCCAAGTTAGAGACACTGTAGGAGTCCGAGTGTGGTATTAAATCGTCAGAGGTGTACATCTGGTGCTGATGTTGCCAATATTTATACGTCACACTGGGGGTGTCGTACATGTATGTGTATTGGCAGAATGTTCACCATTCACCACGAGACACAGTGTACACATTAGCAAATACTTAAAATAAGTTTTAGAAAAAGAAAATTATACAAAAATGGATTTAAACAACATATTTTGCTTGGGTGTTCATGGACTAACTAACAAAAGGTTGGCTCATGTTATTTGAGAGGGATTTGTTTAAAGGGACAGTCCGCAATTTTGGACATAGGACCTCATTTCCTAGTTAACTGGAGTGTTGGAGACGTGTAGAGACACTTTTTTAAAATATTCCATCCAGTCCTTGTATTTGCAGAGGTCACTGTTGCTAGGCTAATGCATGTCAATGGCCATAGTTATCCTGTCACAAAAAACAGTCTTACCCACTCCACAGAGCACTCAACGCAAATCTGTTATTACGCCAGATTGTTGATGTGAATGTCTGTCGATAGAATAATGTTTGAACTAAAACTAATCTTGCATGAATCATCGCATGTTGAGGGACTATTTTCTCAGCAGCAGCAGAATTTTACTTTGCCGGTAAGATAGATGCTAGGTGATATTAGTCCGCCGCTGCCAAGCTTTGTATCAAGAAGTACAACTCGCTGCTGCTCAGACATAAATCCTTCAAATGCAAGGTTTTACTGGTTTTTACATTTACATCGACAGTCTGGTGTAATATTAGATTTGCTTTGGGTGTTTTGTGGAGTGGATAAGACTGTTTTTAGTGGCAGGCTAAGTATGGCCATTGACATGCATTAGCCTAGCACCAGCGACCTCTGCAAATACAAGGACTGGATGGAATATTTTATTAAAAAGTGTCTCTACACGTCTCCAACACTCTGGCTCATGAGGAAATGAGGCCCTATGCCCAAAATTCCACACTGTCCCTTTAACAATACAAAATCAGTTCATCAGTAATTTCAAATAGGTCTGTCCTTTATGGTCAGATTGTGTTAAATTGTGTTAGATAATTGTGATCAGATTAAAGTTTTACAAGCCTCAGACAGAGCATGCCAATAGTTAGCATCACACCCCGAGGGAATGTAAATGGAAAGTATCAATTGTCACTACTTTTACCACTTATAAAAAGCTATAGGAGGCTGTAAGCTGAGTATGAGTAATGAACAGAAATGTCTCATTAAATATGCAACTGCAAGCACTGGCCCTCTCCTGCTCAGTAATCTTCCCTTTTCAAATCAATTGCATTAGTTTAATTTCATAGCTCCTCAACTCGTTTGGAAAAGAGTGATATCAATTTTCCTGTGTAAAAATTAAATAAAAATTAACATTATGGCCTCTTAAAGTTTAACTGTTTGAAACAGTGCAGCTATCATAGACTGTATAAAGACCTGGACTAAGGGAGTATAACATCACCCACAGCGTTTGGCTCTAGTCAAATGAAGCTCACCAAGGCTGGCAATTATAGGGAAGAATTTGAAGCTGAATTCCATATTAGGAAAAGGATTTTGTTTACGGACTACATAATGAAATAAAAACCAGGATCACATAGAGTGGGTTAATATGAACATTTTAAAACCAAAAGTACAAGGCTCACTACTACAGTTACAGAGAGAGGAGTGACAGTTTTTCAGTGTAAAGTCAATTGGAGTCAAAGTTGATGGACGCGGAACTTCCCCATGCTAACTTCCTCTTTAGAACACGGCGTCTAGCAGGTTAACTACTGTATGTTCATTTATATGTACAGTCTGTGGTAGCTATCTAACTTATTAAATAAACCCTTAAAGTGTTCAACATGACATATAGCGCTCTATTAAAGTGCAACTGGGGCTGGTATGTTCACTGTAACAGTAGTGTGTCCTGGGCATGTACACTTGACGGTGGTTGATAGATTGGTTGCGGTGTGCCGTGTCTTAATGGAGCTCTGAACCTTATCGGCTGCTCAGCAAAGCCTCTAAGTGGACAGTTTGAAAACTAATCCCACTGTAAGAATAAGAGCTTAAGCCCCAGCACGCTCTGTGATAGTGGAATAAAACACATGTGGTAAAATACTATCAGCCCTCTCCATAACACCTCACTAATTACTTCCTCTCTTGAGCCACGGCCTTCTCTCTCCATAGGAAGACTTCATTACAAGCGTTATGGCATGATACTTTTCATTTTTCTACTGTTGCCATCAAAACTCGTGAGATGAGAAAGATTTCAACCAAAAGTGGATTGATGGCAAGAGTTACTCTTTAAAGGTCTTATATTACGTAAAATTGACTTTTAAGGCTACATTCAGACTGCAGGGCTTAATGCTCAGTTTGGATTTGTTTGTAAGGTCCTTCACATTTCCAATTAAATCTGACTTGTATGTGATCTCCAGACACCCCAAAAGTGTCCTGCACTTGGAGGGCATAACGAAATCACACGCAGTGTGCATGCTCAGCGTTTATGGAAGTAGCCTCAACGCTGGGCTTGTCTCCCAAAATACAGTCCAGTTCTTTGTAAAAGGGACAGGTTACACGTCCACAGCCGCTTTGTTTGTTTGAGTCTTTAGCCTCCTTGTATTTGGCTCACAAGCTCTTTATTTTTGCTGACACTGGAGCCAGGACCGCCTGTAGCTGTGCTCGGCCATTTCTTTGGCAGTCATTTCAAAAACTGCCCAGTTCTGATAAGACCCCTCCAATTTGGCCTGAATACAGCGATCCCCCCAAATATTAATGAACTCGTTAAACTCGCTTTCCCTCCATTGACTAGACTTCGAGCCTGACGTGTAGTTCGGATGAATACGACCTGGCCTTTCAGATATGTATTGGTTTTAGGACCACATACCGAAGTGGTCTGAGTCGCATTTGAAAAAATCTGATCTGTGTCGTTCAGACTGTAATTAAAAGATCAGATACAA